CTATGGTGAAATTTGTTTACAAATTAGAAGCAGGCAAGTAGTCAAGGGATTTGGCTTCTGCTTGGTAGATTGTGTTCTTTGGCAGGATTAAAACATGAGGCAAGCCTGGGGCCAGTCTCTGAGGATATACTCACTCTGGGATTCCTGTGCTTGGTTCTCAGAGAGTAGGGAGCATTCTTTAAATTTTGTGCACTTGAGGGTTACTTCATCCTACTGGCCTGATGTCTCTGGCAAGTGTGTTGTGGCTCATTAACTGCTTTCATTGAGCAAGAAGCATATGTGAATAAAAGTAATAGATTGCACTATAGAAAAGGCTTCTTCCCCTCCAGCTCAGTAGTCTTTTTGTCAGTCAGCTTTCCTGACCAGGTGCTTTCAGCTGGCCTTGAGAATGGGCCCTTCAGGGACTTACTGAGGCATGCCTTCACTCATCCTATTAATACAATCATCGACTCTCTACTGCAGAAAGGATAGTACCTGCAGGAAGGCTGCAGAAGAGTAGAGGGATAGAGAGGAGGAACAAGACTGAGACGAGTCCCTGGCACTTGGGTTGAGGGGTGTGAAGTATACTTGGACTCCAGCTAGGCTTTTGTGTCTCTTCTGTGGTGTCCAGTTTTTGGTCTCTCCCTTGTTCCCTTTTGTTTGCCTCTACCTCATTTTTGTCTCTATCTTTTTCTCTCAATTTCTGTGCATTTCCTTGTATTTCTGTCTTTTTCTCACAAGTTCATGCCTTTTTTCTTCTAATTTTGTACTCCTGTTTCCTTCCTCTGCCGTGGTTTCTGTTCTGCTGTTAGTTCAGGGCTTCTATGGTCTTTGATTTGGTGTAGTTCTAGACTCTTAGAGTACTTTGTTGCATTAGACTCATTCTTTTGGTATTCTGGGAGGGATAACTTTTTAGCCCATTGTTTTACACCTCTGATAGGAGAAAGAGAACAAGTCCTAAGAAGGAGATGGACATGCTTATATATATATATATATATATAAGCATATAAAATATGCTTATTTTATCGGTGCCTGTGGTTTACTGGTGGCTGTTAACTACATATGCTAGCTGATCCAGATTTAGCCAAAGAGAGAACTTTGGTCAGCAGTTGATCCCCATGAAGGTTTTTAGGCAGCACACATTCCTTTGGGGTATCCCCAATTCCATATAATTGCTTCATTATGTGTCCACTTTAAATGACTGACTGGTGAGTACCTGTACTATTTGGCAACACTTTTTACCCCCTTGACACAGGGTTTCTCTGGATAGCCCTGGTTGTCCCTGGAACTCACTCTGTAGTCCATCCTGACCTCAAACTCATCGATCCGCCTGGCTATGACTTCTGAGTACTGGGATTAAAGGTGTGTGCCACCACACCCAGCTATTTTTTTTTAATATTTATTTCAATTTTATGTTTATAAGTGTTTGCTAGCACAGAAGAGGACATCAGTTCTCTTAGAACTAAGCTAAGCTGGTTGTGAGTCACCATGCGGGTACAGGGACTTGAACCCAAATCCTCCAGAAGAGCAGTTAGTGCTCTTAACTGCTGAACCAACTCTTCATTCCTATTTGGTAGCATATTAAGTGAAGCTCTTAAAACACCATGGAGGCTATTCTGTCACATATGGTCATTTCCTTCCTCCCTCCCCCTCCCCCTTCTCCCTCCCTCTCTCCCTCCCTTCCTTCCTAGGTTTCTCTGTGTAACATTCCTGGATATCCTAGAACTTGCTTTGTAGACCAGGCTGGCCTTGAACCCAGATATCTGCCTCCCGAATGCTGGGATTAAAGGTGTGAGCAACCACTGCCTGGCTTCATTTGGTCATTTTTACAACTGGCCCTGGACACTGTTCTTTTGAGTGGAGACTTGCCCCAGGGAACTAGTTGTTACCTTGCCTCCAACCAGAGTTCATTAGTTCCCCTCTTTGCTGGATTATGAGCTTTAGACACACTATAAACTGTGCACTATGAGAGATTGTGGTCTTTCAGAAACAAGACTGAAATACCATAGGTGTTGGGAGCAGTCTTTGCTGTGGGGCTGCAATCGGAGCCAGCTGAGCAGCCCCAAGTCCATATCTGAGTTGGGGAGTGTGGATGAAGGAAAGGCTAACTATAGACAATAAAGAAAAGACAGAGAGACAGAATAAAGGTCAGGAGGGCAGATCAGTCAATACTGAAATGCCACGAGTTTATTTTTCACCACTCTTTTTATATGCCTTATGCAAAAAGATGAACACAGTTTCATGTATATGGAACAGACTTTTCTTCCTTTCTCATTTTAAGGGTTCAGTAACCACACCTTAGCTCCAACTTCTCCTTCCCTAGCCTTGAGGTCAGGCTCAAATTCAGGTCTGTTGTTATTTAGACTAAGATGGCTGAAACATCCTTCTGTAGCTACACCTTTGACCTTTAGGTCTTGTGACTTGATAATGCCAAGATGGAGTACAGCCATCTTTATGGGCACCCAGACATAGGGAATCAGATGTTCCCAGAACTGTAGTATTTGATACTAAACTATTGTGAAGTAGAAATGTGAAGGTGAGAAGGAACTTGAGCAGAACTCCCAATATATTGGGAAGATTTTCAGAGGGAGTAAGGGCTGAGCTAGACCTTGGAAGTAGATGTCAGTGAAGGGGAAAACCTTTTGTGTGTGTTACTGTCATAAGTAAGGAAGAAGCCACCTAAAGAAATAAACTAGGGAGTGTGTTCAAGTGGTTGGGAGAATGGGCTGTAAGTTTATGAAAGAAAGTATTTAATTGGGAGCTTGTTTACAGTTTCAGAGGACTAGTACATTGCCATCATGGTGTTGGAATGGTAGTTGAGAGCTACATCCTAATCCACAGGCAGAGAAAGATCCTGGACCTGGCATGAGCTTTTGAAACCTCAAAACCCACCCCCCAGTGACGTACTTCCTCCAACAAGGCCACTCTTCTCAATCCTTCTACTACTCAGAAAGTTCTACTCCCTAATGGACTAAGCATTCAAATATATGAGCCTATGGGTGCTGTTTGCATTCAAAGTACCACAAGGTGTATATTTAAGTTTTTTGTCTTGTTTTTGTAAGATTGTGATAATACTTAGAAGTGCCACTATGTTCCTTCTTGTTGTAGAAGCCCTTGGATAATTATTCTGATGTTCTCCCTTAGATCAAAGCTGTTCTTATTTTTCAGAAATAGAGTTCTCTCTGTGGATTAATCCTCAGTCAGCTAGCAGTTCACAGCCATCAGTGATCTACAGGGTTTAGATGTTATTGAGGTATGTGAGAATGGAGCTTAAAGGATAGCTGGGATGCCTTGAGCTCTCAGGAAGGCTCTTTCTCCATGGGATCCATGGACAATTTATAGCAGGTTTGCATTGGAATGGGCGTAGGGAGATCATTTGGACTTGGGAATGCAAACTTAGGAATGATAGCCTCTCTCAGCCTTAGTTTCCTCATATATAAGTGCCAGAGATGTGCACTTATATATGGGGTGGGGGTGGGGGTGGTTTCAGGTCCCAAAGAGGATATGTGGAGTTCGAGTGGAGTTTGGGGGTGGGGGGTGAGGCAGAAGAGATGGTCAAGGTCTGAGGGTGAATCCTGATGGTTACCAGCAGCATTTACTTGAAAAGAGATTACACCTTTTGTTATGTATAGTTGCACATAGTATTAAACGGAGATAAGGGGCAATCTGGGGTGTGGTGGATTGAGATCAAGAGTTAAAAAAATCTATCATTGACCTTGACAGTAGGCACCAGTTAATGGAAGGTCCACAGGTTCCTCTTGTTTGAGATAAGATTGACCATTTTATTAAGCAGGAGCTTTTCCTTAAGCCCCACCTCTAGCTCCCCAGGGAATGGAGACTTATCCAAATGTCTGATCTTGGGAAAAGGACTTCTTCTGGGGAGCAGACACTAAACTACAATTTCGTTCCCCTCATAATACTCCCAAAAGGGAAGGTCTTATGTCTTACTCCTTTTCCATTATACCTTACCATTCTGATTTTTCTGTATTTATTAACTGAACTCTTGCCCTTAATGGCCTCAGGCTCTTAATCTGAATTGTAGGCATTTCATCCTTGGGATAAGGTGTATCTAGTAAATCTCTTAACTTTCCTGTTTTGTGTAATTAGGTGACATGGATTTTTTTTTCCCAAAGAATTATTTTGTTTAAAGAGGATACCATAGTACATATTTTTAAGCCGGGCATTGGTAGCGCATGCCTTTGATTCTAGCAGAGGCAGGCAGATCTCTGAGTTCAAGGCCAGCCTGGTGTACAAAGCTAGTTCCAGGACAGGCTCCAAAGTAATACAGAGAAACCCTGTCTCTACAAACCAAATAAATAAATAAATAAATGAATAAATCAACCAAACAAACAAAAAACATTTTTATGCTTTACCAGACAAAGCCTATCTATACAAAATTTCTCAAAGTGAAAGGCATTAATATTGAGAATCATTTAAAATGAATGTTAAAGGATGCTGGAGAAGTGTGGTCTACAATATTGAAATGCTGAAACTTGGTCAAGCAGCAATGGCCACCATGCAGTCCACATCATGTAAGATGGGGAACAAACATCTATATTTGGAGATTTGTCAGAATTGATAATGAGAATGCCTCTGAAATTGTCAAGTATATAATAGGCATACAGGTGTAAAACATTAGATGATCCATCCAGATGATTCAAATTTACTTTATTTGTGCGTGCACATGCACCTGTGTAAGAGTATGCGAGATCTGGATGGGAAAGGGTGGGTGAAGTGAGGTCATCCATTCTTGGTATTGGGAAACATCTTCAGAAATGGTTCTGGCAGTTGAGAGCATGTATGTGTTCATGCATGCCCTAGTGTCTTTGGATACAGTGTAGGGCATTCATAGGTGCTAAGTTGGCCTGTGGGCTGCTCCTCCTGTTTACCTGTTCTAGTTCTTACTGACCCATTGTTCCACTAATTTAGGCAGGAGGGGGTAGAAAAATACTTTGTATAGAGGGGTTGGGGTCTGTGTGCTCAGCTCAAGCCTGCCAGTGATACTATGGTTTTCCTTTTAGGTCTGCTCACATTTGTGAACTGTGCCTATGTCAAGTGGGGCACACGAGTACAAGACACATTCACGTATGCCAAGGTCGTGGCACTCATTGCCATCATTGTCATGGGATTTGTTAAACTGTGCCAGGGTAAGAGGGGCTGATGTGGGAAGAAGGGTGAATGTCTCTGGGAGCCTCTTTGGCTCCCTGAGGAGGATATGGGGACTTAGCTAGCACATTTTGAATATATTCTAGTGTGGTGTCAGTGAATGTAATCTCTTCTTGGGCTTTGCCAGCTAAGCTGGCTTGGCCAACTGGATGTGTCAAATGTCAGGTTCTCAGGGCTTCTTTAAAAACAGCATTGTGGAAAGCTAGCAAAAGTCCTAGGAGTTGTTGAAATTGGGAGTATAATTGGGTTACTCATAAGCTATTTAGGGGGATAGATTATTGGCTTCTGGTTGTAGTCATACTTACCAAATAGTGAGTGGGAAAACTTCCTGGAGGGGGTAGTCGGGGAAGGGTGATCATTTTGCAGTATTTTATTGTTTATGTGGACTTGAGGAATCTTTAAAAGCCAGCTCTTGACAAAATGTCAGAATGTTGTAGAATGGGCATTGTTTTACCTATATTGGTCTTTCTTTTGTCTTATGTTTTTTCCAGACAGGGCTTCTCTATGTAACAGCCTTGGCTGTTTTGGAACTTGTTCTGTAGACTAGGCTGGCCTTGAACTCAGATCCGATTGTGTCTGCCTCCTGAGTGCTAGCATTAAAGGTGTGCACCATCTTTCTCTCTCTCTCTCTCTTTTTTTTTTTTAATTTTTTTTTACCCCTGTGGGTATAACCAAGATCTTGTGCATACTATGTTAACACTCTACCACTCAGTTACATACCTAGTCCTCGTATTTATTTTATTTGTAAGACATTAAGATAATGTCTTGAAATATATTTTGGGTTGGCCTGTAATTTACCACATAGCCCAGTGGCCTTGGATATTTGATTTCTCTTGCTGCAGCTTTCCAAGTGTTGGGATTACAGGCATGTACTAACTACCACATATTAGCTTTTGAAAACTTTATTCTGGGATCAGAGCAGACTGAGGCTAATGGGTTTCCCCAGGCTGTCCTGAAAGGTACTTATCAAAGGATATCTTTCATACTTAACAGACAATTCCCTATTATACCATTCCTAAACATGGCTATATTTGCAATCACCTGGGGAGCTAAGCCCTTCTTAGGCCTATTGATTTGAAATTGAAAATTATAAAAGTGTGTATGCATGGCCCTGAAGACCAGAGACCCAAGTCTACAGGCATGCTAGACAAGTGCTTCTTTCAGCCCAAAGCTATGCTCTTATGAAGTTCCCTAGGTAATTCTCTGGCAGCTAGCCCAGGAAATTTGTGGACTATAACTGAGTAACTACAGTCAGACATCTAACTAGATGTCCTTGAGATCTCAGTAGTATCTTAGAGTAAAATTGGGCTATTGAGTAATTTTCCCTTGCAGGAAATGGAAATTCCTTAAGGCCTTGGAAGAAGTGTTTCTCAGAGTACAGATAGGAATGAATGTGTTTGTTTTCTTGAGATTAAGGAAACTTAACCTGATGGGGTGGTGAAGTTCAGGGAGTTTCTGATTGTTCTTTTGGTATTAAATGATGTTTTTTTGTTTTTTCTTCCCCTGCCTTGTTTGTTTTTGTGTTTTTCCTCTTTGTTTCATCTTTTTGTTTCTCCCTCTGAATCCTTTATCTTTTCTATATTACTCCCCTGTCTTCCTTTTACCTGGTCTCCCACCCACTTTTGCCCCACAGGACACACTGAGCACTTTCAGGATGCCTTTGAGGGTTCCTCGTGGGATATGGGAAACCTCTCTCTTGCCCTCTACTCTGCCCTCTTCTCTTACTCAGGTTGGGACACCCTTAATTTTGTAACAGAAGAAATCAAAAACCCAGAAAGGTAAAGGCGAGATCACATTCTCCATCTTGGCTGGAACTCCTGCTGATGGTGGGCACAATTGCCCTTTTCTCGTACCTCCTCCCTCTGCCTCTCATCCCCTTTCTTTTCCTGCTCCCTTTCTTCAGTTAGGAGGCATTGGGGGTTAGGATAGGAGTGAGTGACCATGGGAAACCCTTGGCTCTTACCCTTATGTTCCATTGGGGAACATCCAGAGTCCTTCCTATAGGAGGTCTTTAGTGGACAGCAGCAGGCCTACCTGGGGCTGGGGTGGCAGGACTTTGCCATGTGGTAATGAGACTGTGGCCTAAGCTATCTAAGCTGTTTCTAGCCTACCAGGTCCCCAGCCTAGTTTCTAGTTCCCAAAGGATATTGCTCCTGCTTTTATCCCGAGATCATAGATGCAAGAATGTTGTAATGCCACACGTGACTCATTGAACCTAATCTGGTAGGATAAACTAATCATTGCTCCCTTTTCCCCAGTGGAAAGTCCCCAGGAGCATGGGAAACATACCTACCCCAGGGCATGTTGGGGAGAGGAGTCCATCTGAAAGACCTGGCATCAGTGAACTGTTAAAGTTAGGAAATTCCAGTCAGTGCTGGATGAGTTGGTTCTAGGTAGTTCTGTTTCACTTGTCCTGACAGAAATTTGCCATTGGCCATTGGGATTTCAATGCCAATTGTGACACTCATCTACATCCTGACAAATGTGGCCTATTACACAGTGTTGAACATTCAAGATGTCCAGGAGAGTGATGCAGTGGCTGTGGTAAGTCTCTTGGGGGGTCCTCATTTGCTCCTATTCCTCATCTCATGAGGATCACATGGTGCTTAGTCTAGTCTTAGTCTAGTCTTTTTGTGCAGTTGCTCTACTTCTATAGTGTGAGGAATTGGTCTGGATATGGCAAAAGGGTGGAAGTTTAGCAGGGACTGCCTTTGTTCAGAGATCATAGATATAAGGAGGAGGATTACAAAACTCTGTCCTGTATTGAGTGTCCCTTTTTTGCTCTGCCTCCAGACATTTGCTGACCAGACATTTGGCATGTTCAGTTGGACCATCCCCATTGCTGTTGCCCTGTCATGCTTTGGGGGCCTAAATGCATCCATCTTTGCTTCATCAAGGTACTTTGGCTTTTCTGATAATAGATTGTTCTTAGCACCTGCATGGAAGCTCACACCCATATGTAACTCTTGTTACAAGAGCACCGGTGGAAGAGTAGTACATGTTCTTAGTGGGTTCTATCTCTCCAACCCCCATGATGGTTTTTAAAAGAAGGACTGTGCAATCCTAGTTGAAGCAGGAGGATCTCAAGTTTGAATCTAACCAGACCTACATAGGATACTTTATCTTTTAAAAAGGCCATTGTGGTAACTGTAAATTTGTACTGTGGCAGAATAGATGGGAAGTATTGGAATGTCATTAGGTGGTGGAAACACACAGTGTCTGTAGGATGTTGATGAAGTATCTGGTTCAGAATTGGGAGTGTTGGTAGGTGATACTGAGTTTCATTGCTGAGGACCTGAGTGGTTAATGGATAATGGTGGATGATGAGCATTCCTGAATTGTGGTTAGGTGCTAATAGTTGAAGATATTTGTGGGTAGTGTGAGTAATGGACTGGGTATACATGAAGCCTGAGAGCCTGTCCCCTGATTTTTTTTCTGGTACTCTGAGCTTAGTTTGGGGAGTATGACTGAGTAAAAGACTGTTGCTGCTGACATATTTCATACTCTTACAGGTTGTTTTTCGTGGGCTCTCGTGAGGGCCACCTCCCGAACCTTCTGTCCATGATCCATATTGAGCGTTTTACACCTGTGCCTGCTTTATTATTCAATGTAAGCTCTTCTGGGAGAACGTGGGTTTGGGCAGGTTTATGCAGGATTCTTAATTTACACTATAGGCTTTGTTCCAAGATTTGAAGCACAGTTCATTTTCTGTAGTGTTTGGGATGGAACCAGAATCCCATATATAGGACAGGCATTCTACCACTGTCCTATACTCCTAGCCCACTATTTATTCATTTCCCCTGCTTCAGACAAGGCCTTCTTGCATAGCCTAAGCTGTTCTTGAGCTTTAGATCAGTGGTTCTCACAGAAGTTGCCTAAGACCTTTGTACATATTAGATATTTACACTATGATTCATAACAGTAGCAAAATTACAGTAAAGTAGCAACGAAGAAAATATGGTTCTCCACATCCTGGAGAACTTTATGTATTAAAGGGTGATGCAGCATTAACGAGGTTGAGAACCACTGCGTTAGACCTCTTGCCTCAGCCTCCTGTGTATTGCTTTAGAAGGGGCTTTTTTGTTTGCTTTCTATTTCATTTTTTTTCAATCCTGTATTGATGTATTGGGGTGAAAAGACAGGAGGGGAAATTTTTGTTTTTCAAGTTTAAGTAAGTCTGACCTTGTCTTAGGAAGCTAGTCCCAGCCTGGTAATGGTGGCAACACATCTTTAATCCCCGCATCTGGGAGGTAGAGGCAGGTATATGAGTTCGAGGCCAGTCTGGTCTACAAAGCGAGTTCTAGGACAGCCAGGACTGTTACACAGAGAAACCCTGTCTTGAAATAAATTAAAAAAAAAAAAAAAAAAAAAAGGAAAGAAAGCAAACTAGTCTCTGCAATCTTAAACACTAGGATTGAATGAATACAAGACAAGTAGTTATCCCTCTCTAAGAGTAGGTATGAATCCATTTTGCTGATCTCCCTTTCAAAAGCTCCAGGTCACTATGATGGTTCTGGAGGCATGCCTTCCAATTGTTTGCCAAGTAGTTTGGACCCATGCCTAAAGAACTGTAGGTTAAGCTGGACAGTGGTGGCACATGCCTTTATTCCTAGCACTTGGGAGACTGAGGCAGGCAGACTCGGGAGTTTGAGGTCAGCCTGGTCTACAAAGTGATTTCCAGGACAGCCAGAACTGTTACACAGAGAAACCCTGTCTTGAAAAACAAACAAAGGAACTCTAGGTTAACAGTGTAATTCATATGTGGTGTTTTGGAAGGAAGAAGAATGTATCTTGTTAACCAAAGTGCTTGCCAAAAGGTGGGTGCTGAATATAAGTAGAGGTGGAGATGTTGCCTTGAAAGTTAATGGGATAATGAATCTATCTGATGCCAAGGGAGGGTCACTAAAAACCAGAGCTAATGTGGTAAAGCTGTTTCAGATCTGATGGACTGCTAGATGATTGAGTCTCCTGGTATGACTGGAAGTAATGATACTCATTTCTCTTCTCCACCACCTACCCCACAGTGCACCATGGCACTTATCTACCTGGTCGTGAAAGATGTTTTCCTGCTCATCAACTACTTCAGCTTCAGCTACTGGTTTTTTGTGGGCTTATCTGTTGTTGGACAGCTCTACCTTCGTTGGAAAGAGCCTGACTGGCCTAGACCTCTCAAGGTCAGCACCTCCCTTTTTAAAAAGGAAAAAGATAGGACCTCATACTATCCAGATTAGTTTGGAACTGTGTAGCCAAGAAGGGCTTAACATGCACCGCTCATGCATACTGGCATACTAGCAGGACTGGGTTCTCTCTTTAACTGAATTTATTACTTTTTTAAAAAATTTATTTATCTACTTAATGTACATTGGGGTTTTACCTGTGTGTATGTCTATGTGAAAGTGTCAGATCCCCTAGAACTGGAGTTAAAGAGAGCTGTAAACTGCATGTGGGTGCTGGGAATTGAACCCAGATACTTTGGAAAAGCAGTTAGTGCTTTTAACTGCTGAGCCATCTCTACAGCCCCCTTTTTCTGACTTTTTTTAAAAAGAGTTATTGAGGGTCCTAATCTTGATCAGGTTGTGTTCTTTCATCCTACCCTACTAAATCTCACTTACTTATATTTCAGCTGAGCCTCTTTTTTCCCATTGTGTACTGCATATGCTCCTTGTTTTTGGTGGCCGTACCCCTCTTCAGTGACACCATCAATTCCCTCATTGGCATTGGGATTGCCCTCTCTGGGGTCCCTGTCTACTTCATGGGTGTTTACCTGCCAGAGTCCCGGAGGCCACTCTTTATTAGGAATGTTCTGGGTGAGTGTTGCTTTGACTCCTGTTCATTGGCTGTATGCTTATGCTCAAGTTCATGCAGAGGCTACCAACTCCTCCACCTTACTTAATGGCAAGGGGATAAAACCTGGCTGCCCATCATACTTTTTTTGTGTTCTATTCTAGGTGTAAAGCACTATTTGCTTTTTAGTGTTTGGCTTGTTGTTATGGTTTTTTTTTTTTTTTTTTTTTTTTTTTTTTAAACAGATGGAATTTTGTGTAGCTCAGGCTAGTCTTGAACTGTGTAGCTGAGGATGACCCTGACTCCTCATCTTCCTGGCTTTACTTCACAAATGATAGGAATATAGGTGCATACCACCACACCTGGGAAGAAAAGGCTGGGTGTGGAATAGAGAGGCTTGGCATGTGAAGGAACAGGTGGGAAGGAGTCATAGATAAGCTTTTAGCCTTCTACCTTCTAGTATTCAGACTGGAACTGTAACAAAATATGTTTGCTAAATCCTGTGCTTCTTATTTTCCTTTAGCTACGGTCACCAGATTAACCCAGAAGCTTTGTTTTTGCGTCTTGACTGAGCTAGATGTAGATGAAGAGAAAAATGTTGAGAGGAAAGAAAACTGACTAGAAGCCAGAGATGACATTCCCTGAAGCCCGGAGGCTGTGACCACAGCCATCAAAGACCAGTTACCTAACCCTTCTCAATGAAAGGAGCCTCTTGGCCCACATTCTGTAAGGGGGCTCAGGGCCAATGCTCTCTCATTGGTAAGCTATGGAAGATACTGATCAGACCAGCCTGAAGACGGGACTTCAGTGGGAGGGGAGGTTGGGGCAAGGGATTGATTGATTTTGATTTTCTTCTTCTGGTGGATAGGTACAGACCACCCTCTTGGTACATTGTAGTGGGCAGAGAGGTAAGAATTTTAAGTTGACAGCTATGGCTCATGGTTCACAGATAAACCAGGAGTCTTTACAGTGGGGCTCCTTCATGGGAAATTTTTCTCTGACCAAGTCCAGCTACTTGATTTTTAGAGGCCTGAAATGCTGCCATGTCTTTTCTGTGGCTCAAAATTCTTCCTTAGGGAAAAAAACATTGTGTCATCCCCCCCCACCCACCTTTTTTTTTTTTTTTTTTTTTTTTTTTTTTTTGTTTGCTGGGTAGCATGAACAGCAAGGTTTTAACTGATATGGGATCAAATGTGTGCCCCCATTCCTGAATTCCACAAGAGGAACATCACTCCCTGCCCTGGAACTTCATGTTCAAGCAAAGAATAAGATTGGTGGGAGGAAGACCGACTCTTCAGGGTGTGGGCATGAAAGTCCTCCTCTTGAGGACTTTCCAATTGTGGGTCTGAATGTTGGGAAATCCTCAGGATCTCATTATATACAGCATGTCTATCCTCTTGAGGAGGTGCTGCCTGTCTGACTGACTTTGCTCAGATAATTTTAACACTATGGTTAAAATCCTTGAGCAAGGAGATGAGCTTCTGGCTCATAAAGAAATTATTTTGGCTACTAGATTGCCTCCTTCCTAGCTGAAGTTATGGTGCAGTGGAGCCCTTGAAACAAGGGCTGAAAGAAAACCTCATTCTCCAGCTGAGTGGGAGCATCTCTCTACTACCTGGGCAAGCCACTACTGTCACTAAATCCCAACTCCTGTATTTTTTCATTATTTATTGCTATTTAATTCAGGACTCCAATCGTAGCAAACCATTAGTGATTATTTGTCCACAGGATGCTGCAATAAATGTTGTTTGAAAAAAAGTACCTTAGCTGGTGTGGTAATAGACACCTGTAAACTGAGCACTTGGCATGGTGATGCAGGATCTGAATTTGAGGCTAGTTTAGGCTACATAGTAAATCCTGTCTTTAAAACAAAAAACAAAAGTCCAAGTTCTCAAAACAATATTTCCTTTTTGTCAGAGATGTTGCAATGTGATAATAAGTCAAAATCTGACATGTTTCACATAATCTGTTGAGCATTATCTATGAAGGTTAAGTTAAAGGATTTTTAGAGCTGGGCATGGTTGTGATCCTAGCATTCAATAAGCTAAGGAAGGGGATTTGCTGAAAGTTCAAAGCTAGTCTGGGGTGCATAGTGAGTACCATATTATCTGAGTTTATAGAGTAAGAACCTGTATCAAGAACAAAAACAATGGACATTTAAAGACATATGTATGTAGACAAGTCACATGTTACTATCATCTGGCTCAGCTCCAACAAGGACTGATGAGCAACTGCGTGAGCCAGAAGAAGTCTGGTAGTTATTTTTAAGGATAATCCTTTGGTAGTTTGTTTTTTTCAAGACAGGGTTTCTCTGTGACTTTGGAGGCTGCCTGAACTAGCTCTGTAGACCAGGCTCCTCTTGAACTCACAGAGATCCGTCTGCCTCTGTCTCCCCAGTGCTGGGATTAAAGGCATGTGCCACCACTGCCCAGCTAATTCTTTGTTTTAGTAAGACCTTTGGCCTTTGTTCTAGTTGATAGAAAGTAAATCTCTGGATTTCTGTTATGAAATGTAAGAGGCCTGGAATGTTTTGTAAATCAGGTAGATTACCTGATCCACCAGTTGTCATGGATTCAAGTCATGAACTAGCTTGTGTGGCTTCCTGTGTAGACTCATGCAAACCCACTCTGGTACTGGAAAGGGTTGTTAACTTTCTGAAAACCACATTGGCATCAGGCTTTGTCCACACTCTGAACCATTTTGGGTTATGTGATAGTATACCTGTTTGCCTTCTCTTATCCAAGAGCTGGTGAGATTGAAATCCCAGAAAATACTTGACGTGGTATTTGTACATCTGTTATTTTCTCCCTGTGAAGATCAATGAAGACTGTAGGAGAAAATAGCTTCAACCTTAATCTGGCTCCTGGGAAAGGATGGAAACAGCTAATTTTGGTGATTGGGCTAGGCTGCCAATTGAGACCAAAACCCAGGTTTGGATGTTTGTGGGCAATATTTCTACATTGGATTACACAACTGTTCTGGGATGCCCTTAGGACACTGTCATCCTGTACACAGAAGAACCTGTTGTCTTGGCATTCCCCCTATGGACATCTCATCTTTAAGTTTTAGAATTCGTGAATCATAAAGGTAACTTGAGGCATTCTCAACTTCGATTCTTTTTATTTACCAAACTGGTCCTAGTTTTAAGGGAATAACCTCGGATATATGTTTGCTCAATAAAGACTTAGAGGAGTGTGATCACAGTTGCTTTTGGTCATGGGAATGCATCCTTGAGAGCTTGTGGGTGACATTCTTACTGCCTGCCATGGGTTAGGGATTTGTAAATTTCTGCCTGATGATAAGGTGCAAAGACTGACTTGCCCAAACCATACAAACATGATTGTGTCTGAGCCAAACTGGTACCCATTTTAAGGCTCTTCTGGAGCTAAATTTTTAAAGAGTGACCCTGGTCCTTAACTAGCCAATCCCAGGAATTTGCTGCCCTCCAGTGGTTTCTTAGAGGAGGGACCTCACATTTAAGGTGCTCTAATACTTGCTTAGTGAGCCAAGTTATCACTGGACTAGACACCATTTTTTCCTATTAAGCTCAACACAGCTTCTCCCAGGAACACTGTATGGGAAAGAAGCCAGACTTCTTGCAGTACTCAAGTTTCATGACGGAATTCTTCCCACTAGGTCTTTTCTCTTTGAATCTACCTCCTGAAGTACTAATCCATTTACAATGAGTAGTGGTTTGTTCCTTTTGTATGAATTATAGTCTGAAATTGTTGGGCCCTTTAATGTTAGCAAAACTTAATGAACACACACACAGCAGTGAGCACGCTGTAGTGGCAAAGAGGATTTTAGTCTAGCTAGTATGCCTACATATCAAGATGACTTGTGTTAGATAGAATATTGCTACCTATTCTTGCAGAATTGTTTTATTGATACTCAGAATAAACAGGGATAGTTTTATTAGTTGCAATAAATAGGAGTACACAATTAGATCAATTTGACAAGCTTAATAACTCCTCGTAAGTAGGATCTATCATGAGTAAAGGCTGATAGACAGTAAAAGAATGAGAGGCTTATGAACTTGTAAATAGTGGGGAAAAAGGTAATTCACTTTCCCATGGATCAGCTATCTCAGGACAAGAGGACATTTGCTTGACCTATAGTTTCTACTACAGTAATTACTAGCCATATGTAGCTAAGTTAAAATGAAATCTAAACAATTTAATAGCTTGCACCTGTAATACTAGTAGTACTTGGAAGACTAAGGCAAGATTGCAAGTTATAGTTAAAAAAAAAAAAAGTCAGTTGGGGGTTGGTGGCTCATACCTTTAATCCCAGCACTAGGGAGGTAGAGGCAGGAGGATCTCTTCTGGTTCAAGGCCATCCTCATCTACACTGACTTCCAGGATAACCAGGGCTAAGAGACTGTCACCTAAAAAAAAAAAAAAAAAAAAAAATCCTGGCGTTTCTCACTTGCATAATCATATTTCCAGTGCTCAGTGGCCATACAATTGCACAGTGCATATATAGAACATGCTGTGGTATGTTCTGTTGGTCAATATAATAACTAGGTCTATGGTAGCTGAGATTTAGAAAATGCCTTTAAGAGTTCTGGTAACTAAAATGGTCCTCCTATTGATGCTAGATAGATTTTAAAAAATAATTTTGGGGAAATGTGCCTACCTCTAACTCTGTAATATTTAATCTTGTTCTACTAAGAACAGTGGTACAATTTAGCATTTACATTAGAGTTTTATAATCTGAAGACAGATTATGTGCAAACACTATCATTTTATGTAAGGGACTCAGATATATGGTGGATTTTGGTAGTTCTGGAACCAGTTGGCCACAGTATACTGAGGGACAACTGTAACTAAAACAAGTCAGTGCTATAAAAAGTTAACTTAGTCCATAGTATATAAAGTTAATTATGAAATGTCTGCCTCACTAACCTCTCCATTTTCTGTGGGGGAAAACACCAGTGATAATCGGATTGAAAGGGTTTAAAAGCATTGCTTGTAGCTGAGAGGTATGGTTCAGTAATTCCTGCACTATGGAGGCAGAAGCAGGCAGATATCTGTGAGTTTGAGGCCAGCGTGGTCTACAGAATGACTTTTCAGGACAGGCTGAGTTTTCAGGACAGGCTACAAGCTACAGAGAAACCATGTCTGGGGGTGGGGGTGGGGAATTGCTTCTGTGTAAAAGTTTGTTTTTATTAATAGTATCACATAATACTTACTGTTCCTTGGCACCACTGCCAAAACATGAGAGCAGTCTTTACAACCATTATCAGAGTCCAAAGGGGATGGTACTTCCTATAAATCAGGCAGGGGAGCCACTGTTGCCATGGTAGAGATGACCTCCATCGAAGAAGCCAGGTTTCACTGGAGGCAGGCACTCCAGTTGGGAAGGTAGATTATACTGCCAATGAAACAGGAGCTTCCTCCAACTCCTTTAGACTTGAGCATAGAAGAAAATAACAGAAAACCACCTGGGCTGGAGGTTTTACATAATTTTATTTTCAGACTGTAGGATCACTTGCTTTTTAAAAAATAGAATCTTATTCTTTTGCCCAGGTTGGCCTAGAACTTTTATGTAATCTCGGCCAGCCTTGCATTTTCAGTTCTCCTTTTGCTTCCAGATTCTTGAATGCTGGAAATTACAGGCCTGAGCCAGCATGCTTGGCTTCACTTGTCACATATAAGTAGAAGAGCCCTCAGTTAAGTCTTCACTGTGCTTGGGTATAGCTTTTCTTTCTACATGTTCAGTTAGACATCCT